AGCTGAAGCAGTAACTCCCTGTCACACCACTGTGGATGATATGTTCCTTTCCTGAGGCTCGGGGACCATGCTGGGGTCACACCAAGGCCTGGCAGGATGCAGTAAGGAGCTGGCTGAGTGTTGTGGAGTGTCATGTCTCAGCTGGGAAGAGAGGGAGTGATGACCATATTTGCAAATCCTCCTGGTTAGATTAAGGTAAAATTAACACTCAAGTTCCAAACACAATCATTAGTTTTAATAAGAATCTCTGTGCTACAATTACATTAAAATATTGGCATTCTTACAGTTCTGTCTATGCTATGAGGCTAAACAACATGATTTTACAAGACATGTAAGTCGTGCATTACTCAGCAACTGCAAGAGAGAAAGAGAAAGAAGAGAGAGATGGGTCTCAAACACTTCAAGATGATCTGAATAAAGCAGATGGAATGAAAGAAGACAAAGAATGAAGAAAGTGGAGAAAAAAGGAAGAAAAAAGAGTATGAGAGAGAAAGAATGAGAATAAATAAATAAATGAGAGTATTCTGGAAGTCACATCACTTATGACTATACTAAATCACTGCAAATAGGAAAATACCTGAAATCATAATTTCAGTATTTACAAGCCATTCTTCCCTACTCCGTGAGGCTTAAAAAGCTGAATGAGGAATCAGTCCGGGATTCAAGGAATTGATCTGAAAGCTGCATAACTTGAAATGGCTCCTTGGTCTTTCTAGGATGTCTCATCTTGGCACAGGCCTCCACACTACGGCTCAAACATCTCAGAATTTATCTTGGGTCATTTTGTACATAATACGTGGAAAGTAAAGAAGAACGAGCAAGCACTCTTTCAGAGTAGAATTTATCCTAATATCCAACCTGAACCTCCCCTGGCAGCATGGGGGTTGGCCTCTTCTCCCAGGTAACAGTAACAGGAGGAGAGGGGATGGCCTCAAGTTGCACCAGCAGTGCTTCAGTTTGGATATTGAGAAGAATTTCTGTTCAGAAAGAGGGGTGCTGCAGTGGCACAGGCTGCCCAGGAAGGTGGTGCAGTCACCGTCCCTGCAGGTGTTCAAGAACCGCGTGGATGTGGCACTGAGTAATATTGTCAGTGACATGGTGGAGATGGGCTGATGGTTAGACTTGGTGATCTGAGAGGTGTTTTACAACCCTAATGAATCTGTGATATCCAAGGGTGGAAGCAAGGGCCTGTTCCTGTCAGTAAACCCCTTTCTATGCAAGCAGGTCTCTCTGGCTCCCCTGCAGTGCTTCACCCTGCCATCCATGCTGTTGCCTTTGGGGCTGTCCCTATCCACTTAGAAGAGTCTCATCTGCCCTGCAAACTGGTGGCAGCCCAAAGGGTCCCTTGCCCAACAAAGCACAGATCTCTGTGAACTCAAGTGGTTTTAAAGACTGTTCACACTTAACACAAGGACTGGAGAGGTCAGATGAACAAAGACACGGTGAGGATCTCTTCTAACCTCAGTGCTTAATCATTAATTTGACTATTAATTTAATCTCTCACTAAGACCTTAGACATTTGCCCCTGGTGTGGAGCCCATCAGTATGATATGCCCCTGGCATACTGAAGGAGGCTGCTGCCTGAAGGGCTCATAATGGGAGGCTCACAATGGGACATGATGGGAGGAGTATGTGGGGACTCCTTAAAACATATTATGGGATACTTTTAGGGGATTGAGAGAACACACAAGAGTTACTGTGTGACACTTAGGGGAAGAACTCAAAGCGGGGAAAAAGAACCATCAAGATTGCTTGGAAAGGAACAAATGTGGGAAAACAGGAAAAAGTGGATAATAAGGCCAGCTGAATGTAAATGTATGTTATGTTTGCCTTACTGCTGGCATCTAGACAGAGGTTTGTGTCCGTGTGTTCCTAGTGCTCTGAACAGGACGATGAACAGGATGAAGAACAGGACTGGGCTGCCAGAGTTGCCCACCGTTTCGCACGTGCTGTGTGTTTATGTGGGTGCTAGAAAATCTCTGCTTTCTTTATTAGTCTATGCAGTTGTGTGCAGCACGGCACTGTGCTGGTGTGTGCCTACCAGAAACACACTGTCTCCCCGCTGGAAAGTCACGCTCCAGTACTTCCTCATACAATAAATCACAAAATGGCTTGGGTTGGAAGAGACCTCAAAGATCATCTAGATCTAACCTCCCTGCCTCCTCATCCCTGTGGCCTCCACTGTATTCACTAGTCAGTGCTACCCTGGGGAGCCCAGTCTGGGTGCAGGGCTCCCTCTGGTAACTGTTTACTATTTGGGTGGGAAGGACCTCTCTGACACACCGGCTGCCCATGCTCTGCAAGAGCAGCCCAAGCCATAATGGGCCCCCAAAACTACAGGGCCTCTCACTAATACACGTCGGGATCCCTTGCTGCTCACCAGGATCCTGGAGCTGTTCTCTGCCTGTGAGCCCCATCTTGCAGCACCATCAGCCTGGAGCAGGGCTGCCACTGGCTCTCCGAGAAGAAGTCTCCCCAGGTTCCTCCAAAGGGTTGCTGCTGCATCCTCTTATTCTATGACATTGCAGTTGTGGAGACAAGTATAATTCCATCTGCATATGTTTTAAGGAAAATTCCAAAAGAAGTGCCCCGAATTCTACTGGTAGCACCACACGGGAGAGTGGCGCAGTGGCATGCCCACTGCCTGCTCCAAGGGCTGGGACACAGTTTCAGTGTTCTGCTGGCTTATGTGGAGAACGTGGCTTTCTCTACAGAGAAGAAATACGGAGGTATACTATGTGAAATACAAGTAAGAGGAATTACTTTTTTGGTCGACTGACCAAAACTGAGGAACACACTGGTCTCCATTAACTGGATGAACGCTGCTCTGACCAGTAAAGATGCTGAGTGGAAAAAGCTACTGTGTGCCAAAACTTCATTGCAGCAGCAAAGTCTGTCCTTGTGCATAGAGCACTCCTGAGGAAGCTGCAGGCTAGGGCTGATATCACACTGGAGCAGAGACCCGCTGAGAACTTGAGCCTCAGAGACCAGAACACTCCGGACAGCAGAAACTGTTCATGTTCCACTGCTGCTTCACTCATTTCTCTTCGCCTGAGGGCTTTGGAGAAGATCAGCATGATGATCTTGGCAATCTTGGCATAATGATCATGACAAGGGCAGCAGGAATTAGGAGGGGAGGGGAGAAGCTAACTACTGTACAATGAGAACCTGTGTGAAAACATCTGCAATCTTAGATGAACTGACAAAACTTTGTTAAAAATAAGATCATTTTTTAGGTGATTGTTCAGTTCATCTGCCTGAGGTGAGAACCTACTCATTTCTTCCCTGCCTCAGCTTTGTATGCAGCCCAAGAGCTGGTTAAGAGTCAAAACAGAATTTAATTCACTTGAGTCGAGAGAGTCGAACACAAAGGTCAGGGAGAAGAAAACTGATGATTTTGAAGCCAAAAGCACCATTTTTCTGGAGGTATTATCTGTACTCGTGTTAACACCTCATAGAATTGTGGTCAAAATTTCTCCTTCCTATCCTGAAGACTGAGATAACAGTTTTTCCAGGCCATTTGTTTCCTCTTGGATTATGTTATGAATATTTTTCAGTTTCAGAGAAAGGAGACAGTATGATTAATTAAGCAATCCAAAGAAATTCAGAATTAATACACAGACCAATTTAGACCCAAATGTTAGATACTGTCCCATAGATAGACTAGGAACAGCAAACAAAATTAGTAAGGAATGAAGGATACTGTGAATGTAACCAATAAATCCCTGATTGCTTTAAGATTGTGCACCCCAGAAGCACCTTCTCCCTAACCCCTCTCATCTCATCATTACCACCTTTGCCTTTGAGGCAAACCACGTAGATACACCTTCTATAGTAGCATTAGGAATTGCTTAGGATTTAACTAAGTAAACAGTGGTTTTAATAATCTCCATCCTGTTGCTAGGCAACAAGTTACCAGACAATTACTGAGAGTGATGACCATGGTACAAGCATAGGACATGCCAAACACAAACTATTTTCAATATTCCATTGTGATGGTGTGCTTCCTACCCCAATGTCCTCCTCTGGCTTTCCCTGCAGCTGCAGTGTGATTTCCATCCATCATGTCCACAAGTTAAATGAAAAACAATTTATCTAAAACACTGAATTTTCAAGCTCATAAGAGGTCACCGTGAATGATGCTCCAGACCCAGCAGATAGGTGAACAGCACAGCACAGCAAGAACTCTTGAATTTTTACTGTCATACAGTCCAAAACAAAATTTCACTAGTGATCAGGATGGCCTATTATTAATATAGGTGCCATGTATAAATACCAGAAAATTGTTTTTTAGAGACTTGCTGAAATACAATATGAAAACCATCTAAGTGCTCCTTATAAATGTGCTGTCACTGACCTAGGGCTTAAAAGCATTTCAATTTCAGATTTTCAGCAAACATGAGCTCCTCTTTTGATATACCTCTAATATATTTAAATCAAATCCTAATGGTTGCTAACATGGACAAAAACATGAGGGAAAAAATAAAAGTAAAGACTGATGATCAGTCTTTCCTTTATCCTGATGATCAGGATACCTATCAGTGTCTATCTTCCTGACAGGAGCAAGGAAAATGCGGTCAGGAGTGTGTGGTGGCTACATATGACACTAAGAGGAAGGTGATGTAGACATACCTGGTATCCCTCTGGTACCTTAGCTCACTGAGCTTTGCCCCTGCTCATGGTTTACAACTCTCCAAACTAGAAAACATGACCAAACCTTCAGTGCAGCAGCCACCAACCTGGTTTACCAATTAAATGTTAATAAAAAGAAATGCAATGTTTTAGCAGTAAATGAACTCTGTAGAAGATTCATTACTTTGTCAGTCCATTACTGTTTCTCATCCAGTGCCTGAAGTACAGAAATGCAGATGGAAATCTATCACAGTTAATGACTGCACTCAAGAAGAAAATACTGCCTTTGATAAAAATGCTGTCTAGGTAACAAAACAACACAAAAAAAAAAACCAACAAAAAAGCAAAAAAGTCTCTTACCTGAGATATCTGTATGAATTATTTAATTATATGTTTGATACACAAGGAACAAAACAAAACTTATGGCTAATGAGCTCTGTTGAACAGCAACAAGACATCTTGCATATTTTTAAGATGCCATAGTCTAAGAAGCTAAAAAAGAAATCACATGTGCAAAATATTTTTTCAGTGCCTGTGATCAGCTGCTTCATACCTACATCAAGAACCACCTTTTGAAATTCAAATTGCATTTATGTGTATGCAATTATTTTAATTAAACCAAAAACATTGAACAGTTAGGCCTTTTTTCAAGTTTCTATGATCAAATCACTTAGTGTTTTGGGGTTTTTTTGTCTACACTCACTGCCTTTACTAGTGCCTTCTTCCTACATGTTTATTATATAGATATGTGAAACAAAAATCTCTCATTGTCAGTGTCTTGGAAAAAAAGAAACCACATTCACATTTACAAATAGATACAGACTTCTGATTTAGGGTTAGCGTAACCCATATATAAGGCTACAAGATTTGGGGGGGGGCAGCATTTAATGAACTTTTGCTTCTTCATCTTCCAAGTCAGTGAAAAGAGCCAGACATAAAAACTGATGAAAAAAAGCCAGAAGCTCAAGAATGACTTAATATGAGACATAGTGTTCATCTTTTTACCAAAGAGAGTATCTTTCTTTAAAACTCAAGAAAGTTCATTTAAATCTAGCCTCCAAATTCATTAAAGAATTGGGGAAAAAAAAATCAGTGTTAGATATCTTTCCAAGTTACATATTAAAAATACAACTCGATATTTGGCATATAGCAAAACTGACTGTCATGTGATAATTGCAAATCAGTTATTCAGGCATCGTCATAATGACAGCTAAGGAACAGAATTATCTATGATAAGTTAAAACAGTTTATTTCAATTCAGCATTTTTAAAGCAAACTGTAACACGGGACAAGCCCTTCAAGCCCTATGTGGAACTGGCTAAAATACACAACACTGTTCTTCACACTCTGCACAACAATTTGAAACCACTGTCGTCCTTCCATTCCAGAGACACACAAGGCATTGCAGTACAGAACTGTGTGCTACACACTTATTTTCAGTCTTGCACCTTCTGAGAGTGGTTCTGGTCCATGGCTGTAAAGAACAAGCAGACAGCGGCTGTGATGAACACATGCACTCCCTCGTAAAGCAGCTTTGGTGAGAAGACGCTCCATATGAACAGGTGGTACCGCAGGCCTGTTACCAAAACGATGTAGATGGCAACTGGGATGGAACGCATCAGCGCATAGCAGAAACACCCATGACCCACTGCTGCAGAATTCCTGCAAGAAAAAGCAGAGGAGCTCATTCTCAGGCAAAACACATCCTGATTCATTCACTATATTCACAAATCTCCACTTTGTGTTAGAAAACTGATTACTGGTGCAGTGATGAAACTAGGAATGCTTTTCTTTACCACCTCTATATATCCTGCTGTGTGTTAATGATGTTTAGTGTTTGCAGTAGTTCACCTCAGATGTAGAAGTTTCTTTGTTTTAACACACTTTGTTCTAATTGTTTAAGACTCCATTAAGTAGTTTCAAGACAGCTTCATCTCTTGTTGGCCTTCCAGCGCCCTTCCACAAGGTCTGCCTGTCAAGGCAGAAAAGAAAGACTTCAGCACCCCTCCACAAAGCTGCCTACCTGTACAGTAGATGATCAGATGGAGCCAGCTCTCCTCATAAAGAGCACAAAAAGTGTCAGAGTGCACCGCTGCCCACAACCAGAAACATATAGAGCAATATAAAAATTGTACTATCAAAAACCTTTGCAAGACCAGCTTAACCACCCTCCGGAGAACGCTGTGTTCTTAGGCTCACATGAGCAATATACTATGTTCCTGTCAAAGGAGATTAGCTAGGGCCACATCATTACAAGGGATGGCCATCCCACATCAACCTACATGGGCCAAATATGCCACACTGAGGTATTCTTGTGGTTGATGGGAGTCAGGTAGAAATGGAAGTGAAATGGTTTCCTGCACTTCAACTGTTCTCCCTCTTCTAAGGTGCCAACATCTTGGCAATGGTACCAGGTTGGCATGTGTCCCCTTTCTCCAAACCACATCTGCTGTGACTAACTCACAGCAAGTTCAGATGCTTACCTGTTCAGACAAAGGGAAGGAACAAAGCTTTTTCACAGGATTAATGCACACAACATTTTTCTTCCCCCAGCAAAGTATTTTACTTCATCAGTCCACAAAAGAACACATCGGCAAAAAGTGGAAATGATTTACACTGAAATTCTTGTCTGAGAATCTTTCTGCTCCTCCCAGTTTCTAATTATGATCTTGTTCCAAATAATAAAAATTTGAGATGACTAGCACTTCTGTGAGATGCAAATTAGTCACTTATAACTAAGCAAGCAACAGAATGCAGTATTTTACATGAACCACTGAACTTATTATTCCTTAAATCAAAATAATTAGGATACAGTCCTGTTTTCCAGTGAAATCAAGAGTAAAATTCCCAAGGCTTTCAGTGGAAGGAAGAACTGAACAGATCATGAAAGCAGAGCTGAAAAATGAACTCAGAACAGCAGGAGCAAATGACTGCAAAGCATGCATTCATTTCACAAATAACCATTTTCCTTGCTGCTTAGCCAAAGGGACTGGGGAGTGAATATGGCTCCTTCCTTCTTCTGCATAACTACTTTAGTCTTCAGTGAGCTTGTCCAGATAACTAGCTTTATGATTAATAAGTGACTTTGCTGACAAAGAGTAAATAAGCTGCATTTCACTCAGTCTTAGCTGTTTTCATGTTGCTATGAGTAAAAGCACTATGTAGTAGTTAGATAATACAACTAAATAAACAAAGGAAATGTTTTTTTGAGTGAGATATGCAAACAGGACATTTTAAAATCCATTTCTTAGAATTAAAAAAAAAAAAAAAGCATTTGATCAAACCTAGATGAAGGCTATTGGTGGTTGTGGCTTTTCCATTTATTAAGTTCCACAATAGGATTTTCAATGCAATTGTAAAAGAGAGAAGTTATATATCTACGTCTTATCAGAACCCTGCTTCTTAAATGTAATTTTCAATTCATATATTTTTCCCAATTCATGCTTACCTAATAACACTGTTAGTACTCCACTGAGAGAAAGCTCCTAATTACAAATCAATTATGACTTTGTGGCATTTTTAGTGGCTCCTTTTAAAATCATAAAGAAATTGGTTCTAAGGTTATTTTGAGTGGAATTTACTTTTTTGACTCAAAAATTAGGCAGATAAAATATTTCAGATACTCACATTTCATACTGGAACAAGAGCTCACAATAATCTTGATCATTAACATTTAAATTCTCTAATTTTGGATTATGATTACTAGCAAGCAATCCCCAAGTCAGTAAGTGACTGCTACTGTTCTTTCTCTAGTTTGATGCAGTAAAAATAATGAACCACTTACTGCTTGGATAATACATTTACTTGCAAAAGGTCTCAGCACTCAATTAATCTCTGAACAAAACACAGTCACCTACCTGCAGAGGGAAATCTCAGGATGGTTTCACAGTACCATGCAGCAGAGCTATTTAGAGAAGGCAACAGAAGCAAACTGTTTCCAAGTTAAACTGTTAGTGAGGTTCAAGAGCGAGATAATTAGGTGTACGTAGCAGCTGGCATGGCAAGTCACAGGCCCGTTGTTACACTGGAATTTCTTAGCACAAGCAGTTAGTACCACTCTGCTACCCTGATGCTAAAGCAACACCTTAGTTCTTCTTAGGACTGCACCTGGTGCCTCTGCTGGGCACCCACTTTGCTGAACATCTAAGTGTCATGGCTTTATCAGCTCCTTCTCCTCTTTACACACACAGAGAGTGACAGCAGGGTATGTAGAGGGCTTAGCAAGGCTACAAGGAAATCAGTGCCCAGGAATCAGGCTGTGGCTACTAATGTGACCAAGGCAATCCAGTTATTTCAGCTGGATTCTGTTACTCCAGAAGAGCCACTAGGAGAGCAGAGAAGGATGGCTGCAGAAGGTCACGCACCTGCCCTACCATTTGGCAGCTAGATTAGCCAGTAATGAATACCCTGGTAATTCCTCTGTGCTTCCAGAGTGAAAATAAAAGCAGGAAGCAGGACGCATCTAAAGCATCAACCTGTAATTTCTCCATACTGAAATGTCTCTGCAGCAGTTAGTTCCTTTTCATATTTGAAGAAGAGCAGGAAGAGAGGGATATAAATTAGATATACTAATCCCATGTTCTAATAGAACCAGTTCAATGTCTAGACATACATAGTGCAGGAGGTTTGTTGCTTTGTTGCAAGCCCAACCACTAATATAGAGCTCATTTAGCAAGCTTAATTGAAGAGGCTGACAATGCGTACCCAAATTTCATATAAGATTGATGCTCGAAACTGTTAGATCTATAAAAACAAATGCTTTCAGAGACTTAACTCACATAACAATACAGATTGACATTATCAATCTTTCTGTATATTGACTGCAAACAGTAAAAATAGTCTAGAGCATATAACGGCTTCCAACAAAATCCCTTTCTTTTAATTGAATATTTATTAAACAGAAAAAGATCGCCAAGGAATTATACTAACGTTTTTCCTGCTTCTTTGTATCTCCTAAATAATGATTGCCAATGTACTGCCAACAAATCTTTCACCTCTCAATCCCCGTGTCTAACATACTATTAAAATGGATTATATAAGGTCTGTAAAATGAAAAAATATGGTGTCAAAATCACGAAAGAAAAAGCACCCCTCCTGGAAAAGCACGTTTCCCATTTATACAGAATATCTGGCAGATGGAACCACAAATTTTGTAGTTTTAAATAAAGCTAAAAAGCTCCACAGGCAGCCCTATGAATGCTTCCACAGGAATTCAGAAACGCATTACTCTACACTGTTTTCATATTTGACCACAAAATTAAATAGACATTTTAGGAAAATGCACACATATCAGTGAGGAATACCACAGTGTTATCACTGTTTGAGATGAAGAATGTATGTCAGGAGGGTTCACTAAGAATACTTTCAGCAGAAGTCAAACCCCAGCATTTCTGTCCTTCCATCTCCTGTGTTCTGGATGCACTTCACTGCGTTGATTACCTCTCACTGGGGATACTGAATATGCATATTTGTAGGTAATTTTTACTGTATTGGATTTTTTATTATACTAGTGTTATTTTCTAGTCTTCCTGCAGTTTCACATTACGAGATCTCTGCTCAGTGCTCTCTGAGAAACAGTTGGTACTCTGTTAACCTGTCTTCTACATATTAGTTAAAGGTTTGAGCCAGAAATAAACTCCACAGCACTCCTCCTGTCAATTTGAATGCAGAGTATCTATAATCCCCAAGAGTTCCAAGTTCTAACCAAATACCCATTAGTTTTGCAAGCAAGAATAAATGTGCCATGTTTCTCCCACATGCCCTACTCTCATCTAGTATGATTCTGGGCCAGGACTGAATAGCAACTCTTAGGGCAAGACACCAACTGTCCCTTAATAAAGCCTACAAATTCCTTCTAAAAATTGACCAAACAGTCTTGAAAGATGCCCACTTTCCCAGTTCATGCCTTGCATGTGCTCATTTCCCCAAATACTGATTCTTCATAAAGGAATGGACTTCTTTTGAACTTCACTGGCTCAGACTCTACCTTCTCTTAGAGGAAAGAGAAAGCACTTCACTAGCACAAATGTCCAGGTCTGTTTCAGGGTTGCAGTCAAAGAGATAGCTAACCAGTACTCTAGACAGCACTGCAACACAATCCTCATTTCTACAACACATAGAAGCCACTCCTTTCCAACAGTTATCTTCGACTCTCCAATCCCCCTTTCTCCATTTAAGCTGTGACAGCCAATGATGAATTCCATCCCTCCTTTAAGAGGGAGTCACATGAAACTGAGTGCTCTGTTTGATATGTCTTCTCTGTCACACTACTTCTGTGGTGTATGTGTATCTAGTGACTGTATGTGCCTGTTGCCATGCTTCAAGTTTCCCCATCAACCTCTACTCAGGTCAATCCTTAGGAAGTGTTAACATGTTCAGCTTCAAGAAAACCAACAAAGTTAAATCAGGCTGCTCTTGTCACAGGTTCAGACTTTAAAGCAATAAGGTATAAGCAAATAATTAAAATTCCTAACAAGCAAAACAAAACTCCTGATTATTTTGAAGCTCAACATTAGTCAATTTTCTGCAAGTATCCTCCCAAAATCCACTTAGCATTTCTGAAAACTCCCAGTAGAAAAGAGCCTGAAGCATTTTACATCAGCATCACACAAGCAGGGAACAAGAAGGAAATTTTTAGCTTGATTTTCTGTTAAGGTGCACCT